CTCCAACATCTTACTCGCCAACATTGCTCCTCCCACCATACTGTTATTGTTTTTATTACTTTTTACACATGTTATATATACCTATCTACATGTTTTATTTACCAGAACTATGCAAGTAAGACAGTATGGTGTCCAAACAGTACAGTGGCCACAATACACTACATGAGAAATCACACAGCAGACAACTCGACATACTCCTGTTACTGTTATTACACTATATACACACACACACTGTATGTACCCATGTATGTGTGTTCCTCATAGAGAACCACGAAGCTAGTATGGTGAACAAAACATGAGTGGCTGCCACACAGTGAGGCTACCTCAATTCTCTCCCTCCCTCCCTCACCAAAATTGCTCCTTCCACAATACTACGCGCAACGCTAATTATAACCACAATCCTGGTCACTAATTTCTGTAAATGAATAATTGACCACAAGTTTATTTTGAAAAGGAACCTAAGAAGTCGTTTGAAGATTCCTAGATGGACGAAATAATGCTGTGGTGCTGTGGCTAGCGCTGTGAACATCGTGAACAGCATTGAATCACTGATATTTGAACATTGTACCCAGTCATTATCACACTCAGGCTCTTCTATAATACTATCATGGCTAAATAATACAGGTTATATATATATTTTGACATTATTAGGCAGTGCTGTGGTCACACGCTGAACAGCAGAGCTGTGCGCTCATGCTGCGAGCGCCAGCCTTGGTTGCTCACTCACTACTGAGGCTCTCACACCCGGCAATGTGGACCATGATTTTTTTAAAGATGGCGTCTGTTTACAAGAGCCCTGAGGAAGCTGATGTGAACCCCATGTAGCTGCGGGAGTTTTGAATGGAACATGAAAAATAAAAACATCCGGAGACGCGTTGTGCACCCGAAGCCTGGGCCTGCAGGCGCATTGCGCAGTTAAAGGGTTAAGATCAAATCAAAATTTAAGGGAAATAATACCCATTTTCTATACTTTGTAGGCATAAGCTATTAGAAAATAACATTTACTACCCAGTGTTATTGCTATTTAATAATGAAAATCACACTAACATCGCTAGCTTGAATTTCCATGTTGATCCAATTGATTTTTTAAACTTTCTTAATATTATTTACTACAGTTAGAAAAAGTTGACGAAAAAATCTAATTTTTAAATTTAAGAAACATGATGAGGAATAAAGGGAAAAATAATTACCTGATGATTAGCAATATGAGTTCCAAATGTTTTCCTCTCCAATGCATACTTTGTAGCCTCGTCCAGGGCTCGCTGGCATATACCCACCGCTCCTGCAGCCACAGGAGGACGGGTGCAGTCAAATGCGCCCATTGCAATCTTGAACCCAGCTCCCTCACCTAAAATATTCCACTACAAATGTTAAAGTTACAGTTATAGTAACACTAATCAGTGATCTCAAATTTCCAGAAATGCTATTTTTGTTTACCAACATTATATATACATGTACATACACATATATATGAGTACAAATCAGAAACTTAAAAACAATTGCCAAACTGAGATTAGAACATGCAGCTGTTCTGTGGTATCCATACCTCAAGAACATCAATAAAAGAGAAAAAGTTTAAAGATGTGCTGCAAATTGGCTGCCAGAACTAAAAAAAAAAACAGCGTTGAATGTAATGAACCACCATTTTCTGGCCGAGACCCGGAGGCTCCCCGGAATTATCCAGGCCGATATGGATATGTATAACTTTCTGGCATCAGTCAATGTGCATGGTGTTCTTGCCTACCGGAGACCACGAGCCAGAACCTGGCCCCATCAAAGAGGCACGAGGAACAATGGCCTATAGAAACCCCCGTGTGGTTGAGAGCAATCTATGTCGGCCATCGACCGGGTCTGGCACCCAGAAATATAGGCTCCCCCAAAAGAAACCCCAATTCTGGTGAAAATATTGCTACCGAAAGCCGAACGAGTGGACAGAACTCCCCAACGAAAATTAGCAAACGAGCATGATGTCATCAAGTTGCCGCGCCGCTGTTTGCGCAACCCCCCTCCCTGGGAGGGGGAAGAGGGAGCCCCAGACCCCTGCACTGGCGATCCAACCAGCAGTTCTTGGGCAGGATGTCAAAAACGACGAGGAAAACAAAAAAAACAGCGTTGAATGTAACGAAACACCATTTTCTGGGCGAATCTCGTAGACTCCCCAGAGCTTACCAGGCTGATATGTATGTATTAGCCCGTGGCATCAGTCAATTCGATGGAGTTCTAGCCAACCAGAACCTGGCCCCCTAAGAGAGGCATGAGGAGCAATGGCCAATAGAAACTCCATGTGGTTGGAAACATCCTATGTCTGCCATCTACCGGGTTAGGCACTCAGAAAGGTAGGCGTCCCAAAACAAACTACTGTACAGCTGGTTAAAATTTGCAACCAAAAGCTGAACTAGCAAACAGAACTCCCCAAACCGAAAACAAGCATGATGTCACCACCGCCGCCGCGTCCGGGGGAAAGCGACAAACCTGAGCCCGTAGCAACATCCTACCCTGCAACACGCGAGCTGCCTGCACCCACGGGAATTCATCAGCAGACTGGGTGAATGGAGTCACGAACAAGCAACAAAGCTCACAGGACTCAGGGTCGAATGTGTCACCGACCCAACAGGCAGCATGACGGAGGCAAAAGCAAGGAAAGTCACCCCGAGACAAAGGGACAGAGCAACCCTCAACTCACACAAAGCGAGACGGGACGCAAGGGTCTCCACTATCAGACCCGAGAGCCCCCGGGGGGTTTCCCAGGGCCCCTAGACTGGGTCTGCTAAGGGTTATCCCAGGCAGGGCACTGCTAACCGGCGCCCCAAACTACCAAGCAAACTGCTAAAGCTGAACCCACGGGACGTGTCCACCTGTGAGGGCGAAGCAGGGGTGCCACCACACAAACGAACCTAATATAAGGGGAGGGGGGGAACACAAGGCAGACCCCCTACCAGGCAAAAACAAATATAAAAGAAAAACCACACAAGTGGACAACGTACCCAGAGGGAACAGAGCTGGCCGCTATCATAGGTGAAAACTAGCTACGCAGTACCCTGTGCCCCACCAGTGCTATAACTACCACTTACCCCAAGGTAAACAAGGGAGTAAAACCCCCAAACACTCGGGGCGGCCAAATGCCAAGCAGCGAAAAGCCAACAGAGGTAGACTCAAGGTGACTTGTGGAAGGCAACCCCAAGCCCCAAGGGCGGTACTTACAGGGCACTCAGGGAAGGTGACCCTAAGCACATGCAGCCCGAGTACCTGAGAATACTACTCCCAGCTCACATGACCACCATAAGAGCAGCACTGTAAACAAGTCACAGCACTGAGACAAGACCGGAGCTGGAGCCACACGACCGTGCATTATCCCATCAGCCGAGGAACTGGGGCGGGGATTGCCGGCACAGGGGTCTGGGGCTCCCCCTTCCCCCTCCCGGGGAGGGGGGAGCTGCGCAGATATGCGGCACGGCTCGTGTGACGTCATGCTTGTTAGTTCGTTTTCCTGGGGGAGTTCTGTCCACTCATTTGTCGATTTTTGTTGTTAACCAGAATAGGTGTTTGTTTTGTGGCGCTTACCTTTCTCGGTGCCTGTACCGGTCGATGGCAGATATAGAATGCTCTAAATCACATGTGCATTTCTATGGGCCATTGCTCCCCGTGCCTCTCTGAGGGGGCCAGGTTCTGGCTCGTGGTCCCCGGTAGGCCTAGAACTCCACCCACATCGACTGATGCAAAATAGTTAGGGTATCCATATCAGCCATGGATAGCTCCGGGGAGCCGTAGGGACTCCCCCCTGAAAAGGCACTAAAGACACATGCAAGGTGACCAAACACCACATCAAACACCCCAGTCAGGAGCCATCGACACAATCCCGCCAAGCGGGGAAGAGTAAACAAGGATGGAACAGTGAACAAGGGTAGCGGGGTGAGTAGAGTATCCCAAGAAGATACTCGCTCCAAACGCATGAGCCTAACTAGAGAAGCAAAGCACTACGAAGTATCAACGATGGGCGGTCCGTACTTCCAAGCAAAATTCCTGCCAACCTTTGAAGAACTGTGAGGCGTCGCCCAAGCATATAACCAGCAGAGTAGCGAATAATAACTAGTCTACCTTCAAGTGTTGTCTAGAACAGACATGCGAGACACCGTACCAACATTCAGTGCGCCCAACCCGCACCATTGCCCGCCAAAATATCACCTGCAACTACTGTATACTGTTATGATCTCAGCCTACAGGAGAAACGAGTCTCGGGGATTGAGGAGATCAGATCTCATAAGGAGAGAGTGGGGAGTCACAGCGGCTCGAGTGGGTGTGTGTGCACGTGACAACGAGGCTAAGTGTTGGAGCCGCATCCCCTAAACGTGTGACGTTGAGCCCCTCTCCAAGAGCCAGAAGTGCCAAGGGTGATCTCCTAGTATAAACACTCTACCGAGTTGTGGGTTGGGTTGTCCGTAGAGAAGGATCAACGACGACAACACCACCAACCCACAGAGTCTATAAGAATACGCAACAAAAGATAAGTAGTTCCTTAGTGTTTGTGTTTATTGACCAATCCCCACGAAACAATAGAAACTGGGATAGTGGCACAAGCCACCCTTGTGGCACATTGTGAGCACGAAACAACGGGCATAAAAGGGATAAGTGCAGAATCAGGAAAGACCGGAGGAATGACAGGCACGGTAACAGGCCCGGTGATGCGCGGAACCAATTACCACGTACCGTGGTGGTGGGGCCCCACGATTGGTGCACGGGCGGGTTGGACATGTATGTTTGTGGGAATGGATAGTAAGAAACAGTAGCTGCCTCGCATGGGCCAATAGGCCCTCCGCAGGTCCACTGTACTTCTGTCCATATGTTTGCACGCGCAAGGGAACACAGGAGGTAGTGAGCACCCAAAGGAGCCACAGACACTAAAAAGAACGTGATTAATGTCAGAGGGAAAGGAAGCAAAAAGCACCAAAAAGCCATGTGGAGGAGGCAGACGCCACCCACAGGAGCAAACGTGAAGACAGAGCCCAGAAGGCTCAGGAAACTGCACAACTGTCAACTGACAGAAGAGGAGGGGCCCAAGAGCCAGAGCTCAACCCCCGCAAGCACAACTAGGCAAGCACCCCACCAAAAGTGAGAACCAGCACTAGGCCAACAGAAGCGCCAGACATGACAACCTCACCTGCAGAGCAGACACACAACCATACCACAACACAGGCGAGCCAAGTAACATACTAGGAGCAGCGCTAAAGGTGTGCCCGAAAGCCATGCATACTCGAGGCAGTAGGCATAGTATGTACCGTTACCTGAATAAAATGCGAAGTCAAAGGAGAAATACGGCCAGAGGCGCGCGCCCTGCAGAAGACGAAGCAGTACAGAGGGTGAGGCGGCGCCACGCCAATCCATCCCACATCAAGAAGCAGAGGAAGAACAAAGTGACACCCCCAGATATAAATCCAGAACACCCTCAGCATCCAGAGGGCCACGACTGGAGGGAGAAACGAGCAAGAAGCCATAGAAAACCATGAGAAACGACGCGAACACACGAGCATACCGCCCGTAAACAAACGCACACCGCGGCCCCAGCACACGAGGTACGAAACGCACCACCCGTCCACCGGGAGGCGTGGCTCGTACACCAGGCGGACACACAAATCTTACACACAATGTACAGACATCGTACAAACACCAGGAAGGCATGCGGAACGAAGACAAAGAACGCCGAAACTGGAAGTAGAGACGACGCGAAAACAAAACAAGGCGAAAACGAAGCAAAAGAAAATAGATGATGGAAGGGAACCAACAAGGCCGACAAAAGACCCGAGGGAAACCACATCGAAAATCAACAGACGTTCCAATAATATTGGAAGGTACGAAGAGACTCGCGAACCAACGAGAACCATGACAAGCACCCCTGACCAAGGAACATGCAGGGACAACGATACAAAGCGGTTTAGGCACTATGTACTAGGTCAATATAGAAATCCATCAATGTTTGTTTCACACCTTGTATGGATGTACCTTACCTGAACACTTTTTTTTTTTTTTTTTGAACAGCATTGCGACATAAGAGCGAAAAGGGTAAGGAAAAGGGGGTGAAACACACCCCCATGAACGACGGAACCGACGAACCCAAAGGAACACGGAACCGAACCCAGGGAGGGGTATACCCGAAAACAACAGGAACACAGAGGGAAGGAACAATCCCACTGAGGAACTGCCAGCCCCACACCAAAGGTACAAAGACCCAAGAGGGGCAAATGGGGCGAGGCCCCCCAGGCAACCCCTCCCTAACCCCAGGAACCTCTACGGCATGACCCAAGGCCGAGCCGCACCCCCAAAGCCCCAGCTTAACAAGGAAAAGCCGGGGCAGCCGTGCAAACACTAAGGAAGGGAGCCCACTGGTCAGACTCATACGGCACGGCTGGAGGAACCGACTTGAATGCCTCTGCCGCCACCCCGGAAGAGGAAAACCCCCGAGACCGCCCGAGTCTCAACCCAACCAGACCCCGCCCCAACCCCGAAACCCGCCTATGGTTCGGAGCAGGAAGCAAGGGAGGAAGTGTGTAGAACAGAAGGGGAAGAACAAGAAGCGGAAGGAACCAGAGTCGAAACGACCCCCACCCCCAAGTCCAGACCCCAACCACCAAAACGGGGCAGCCTCGGGGCATCTGGGGCCGCAAACAACCAAGAGCGTTGCAGCAACCTACATCCAGCAGCCGCCTGCACCCGATTATCAAGACCAGTGGCCTGGGTGAAGGAGAACGCGTACCGACAACAATCATCGGACGACTCCGGGTCACAAGAACAAGGACCCAACAGGCAGCATGGCGGAGGCACAACCGGTGAGTGTCACCCTGAGACAAGGGGACAGATCAACCGTCAAACTCACAGGACGCGAGGGGGACTCCGGGGACACACCTAGAGGACCACGGAGCCCCCGTGGGGTTTCCCAGGGCCCTTAGCCTTTGGTACACGCTAAGGGAAGCCCAGGCAGGGTACCGCGAACCGGTGCCCAAAACTACCAACAAACTGCTAAAGCTGAACCCCCGGGACATGTCCACTCACGGGGGCCAAGCGGGGAGTACCACCAACAGACGCATTCGAAAGAAAATCACCTAGAACAGGAAAGGGGGACCATAGTAAAGGCAGACCCCCCTCCAGGCAAAAACAAAAACAAAAGAAAAACCCCGAAAGAGGACAACGTACCCAGGCGGAACAGAGCCGGCCGCTGTTAATAGTGAAAACTAGCTGTGCAGTACCCCGCGCCCCTACCAGTGACGAAAACTACCACCTACCCAGAGACAAACCAGGGCAACAAAACCCCAGCCGACTCCAAGGGTGGCCCAGTACCAAGCAGTAAAGGACACAGCGGAGGTAGAATCCAAGGCGACTTGTGGAAGGTAGCCCCAAGCCCCAAGGGCAGTACTTACAGGGCACCTAGGGAAGATAGCCCTAGGCGCATGCAGCCCGAGTACCGTGGAATCTTACTCCTGGCTCACACCCCACCGGTAGAGACAGTCCACACCACAAGGCACAGAACTGAAACAAAAACCGGAGCCAGAGGCACTCGACCAGCCAGTAATCCCATCAGCCAAGAACTGCCAGTTGGATCGCCAGCGTGGAGGGTCTGGGGCTCCCCCTTCCCCCTCTCGGAGAAGGAGGGGGGGGGGGTTGCACAGACGGGGGTGCGGCGACGTGATGACGTCATGCTAGTTTGATAATTTTGTTTGGGGAGTTCTGTCCACTTGTTCGGCTTTCGGTAGCAATAATTTCACCAGAATAGGGGGTTTGTTTTGGGGAGCCTACCTTTCTGGGTGCCTGTCCCGGTCGATGGCAGACATAGAATGCTCCCAATCACAAGGGGGTTTCTATAGGCCATTGCTCCTCGTGCCTCTCTGAGGGGGCCAGGTTCTGGCTCGTGGTCCCTGGTAGGCAAGAACTCCAAGCACTTTGACTGATGCCAGAAAGTTATACATATCCATTCAGCCTGGATAGCTCCGGGGAGCCGACAAGGCTCCCCCCAGAAAACACTATAACATCACATTGCCGGGTTCTTGTTCTATTAGTCCCATTTGTGAATGTCTCCTCACGATATCTATCATAATATTTAATGCTACAACTTCCAGGTCTTTGTGAATTTGTTAGGTCGGTGAGATCTTCATTAGATATTTGTTTAAGTATTTTCTTTGTCACTGCTAATGAAACACCCATATCAATTTCTACCACTGGTTTTCTACAGGCTGTCTTTGCAAGCATATCAACAGTGTCATGCTTTGAGATGCAAACATGTGATGGTATCCATAGGAATTTAACTTCAAATCTGTTTTCTTCAGCAGCTAAAACATTCATTCGAATATCACTGACTATTTTCTGGGTGTCACTACTATGTGCATTCAATGCCAGGAGTGCACTCTGCGAGTCACAGTATACAAGTCCACTGCCTTTGTCTTTTAAAAATTCAGTGGCAAGGTATATGCCTGCAAGTTCGGTTTGAGTTGTACTTGCCCAGTCATTGACGTGCTTCATTGCTGTATGTAGAGAGAAGATTGTTCAAATATATTACATGCACATCCGGTACATCGTCCACCTTCTTCTACAGAGCCGTCGGTATAGCACTGATACACATCGTTACCCATACTCTGAGTACTTTCAGTGATGCTTTTCCGTGTTAACTATTTTAACCCTTAACCCTTTAGTTGCGCAAGATGCTTTGAGTGACTTGCAGTAAATTGAGCTCAGCATCATATGATGCTTTTGAGTACCGCGCAAGATTTAAACGGCCCGCGGATACACGGGGTTCACCACACCTTCATCAGGGCTCTTGTAAACAGATGCCATTTTAAAAAAAAATCATGGGCCAAATTCCCGGGTGTGAGGGGCCTCAGTATTGAGTGAGCAACCAAGCCTGACGCACGCAGCATGAGCTCACAGCACTGCTGTTCAGCTTGTGATCACAGCATCGCCTAAAAATGCCATAATATACATGTTCTTGCTACTATTTAGCAATGATATTATTACAGAAGCCCCCTGACTGTGATAAAACTGACCAGGGTTCTGATAATAGCAGGATTGTGGTGATATTTAGCGCTGTGCTCCATGGAGGGAGGCGTAATGCTGTGGGAGGGAGGGTGGTGGCGTCATCTTCTGACTGTGTGTGGCCACCTTTTATTGACTGCACTCACCATACCAGCTTAGTGGTTCACTATGGTGAACACAAATGTAGATACTTATATATAACGTGTGTATAGAGGGTATAAACAGCAATAGGAATAGGTTGGGAGCCGCCATTTTGGTGAGGGAGGTGCGTCATCTGCACGACTTATCATGTTGTTTACTGGTGACCACTATGGTCTTTGGTACTCCTGGCCACCGCACACCACACAAAGACAGCAAAGAACGCCACACAAGGCAAACACCGCCCAGGAATTTGAGGCCAGAGAAGCGTCTATCCCAGTTGACATTAGCTTACGAACTGAAGGCAGCCAGCGTGGTGAGGTTCGGGGGGCCCCCTTCCCCCTCTCGGGAAGGGGAGGGCTGCACGGACGACCAGCGCGGCAGTAAATTGTGATAATTGCTTGTTTGTTTGTTTCCTTGGAATTGTAGGGAGTTTCTACCTCTCCGTTCGTTTTTTTGTTTCAATTTCTTACCATGTGGGATTTGCTTTCTTATGCCTACCTTTCTGGGTGCCTAACCCCGGTCGATGGCAGATAAGGAAAACTCCCAACCACAATGGGGTTTTCCAGGGCCATTGCTCCCTGAAACCTCTCTGAAGGGGCCAGGTTCTGGTGCTGGTCCCCGGTAGATCTGAACTCCATAGCTAATGTCCCGGTCTAACATAACATACATTAGCCCGATAAGCTCCAGGGAGCCGTAGGGGCTCCCCACAGAAAAGAGTAATGCATTCATATGTTGAAGTTAAAGGACAGGTATATTTTGCTCACAGGACCATAGCTATTTTGTAATACAGTACAGTATATTTAGCATATATTAAAGTTATTACAACAACAGACAACCATCATTGGAAAACACAGAACATGGGTGGAAGGACAGACAGAGATGCACCAAGAGAGCTGCTGAGGAAATATAAAGGTGGAGACAGACTTAGTAAATATAAGAAAATAAAGTATTAATCCTTAAAGTTAGAAATTATATAGTGGTAGTGTTACACTTAACCATTTTCTCATTACATTTCACATTCATTGAGCAACAAAAATAAAATAAAGAGTGCAAAATTACCACATACTAAACATTACCTATGAGAACATTTTCCTTGGGCACAACCACATCTTCCAGCATAAAGCCACTAGTGTTAGCACAGCGCTGACCCATGTTAATCTCTTTACGCCCTTTGGTCAGGCCTGGTGAGTCAGCATCAACAATGAAACCCGTAAAGGCATTTGCAGCTTTACACGCTGGGTCTGAACTGTGAAAAAATTCACATTAGCATTTTTAAGTATCAATTCTGTCATATATATGCAATTTTATACATACTGCATTAGAAGGGGATGCCAAATATAGAAAACAATACTGTACTCCGAAAATGGTATTTTATCTCATAAAGCAACATTCCTTCTTTGAAGCTACTTCAATAGGCCAGCATTGAATGTAATGAAATGCCATTTTCTGGGCGAGTCTTGGAGGCTCTCCAGAGCTATCCAGGCTGATATGGCATTATTAGCTTTCTGGCATCAGTCAAAGTGCAAGGAGTTCTTGCCTAGGGACCACGAGCCAGAATCTGGCCCCCTTAGAGAGGCACGAGAAGTAATGGCCTATAGAAACCCCCGTGTGTTTAGGAGCATTCTATGTCTACCATCAACTGGATCTGGCACTCAGAAAGGTAGGCGTTCCAAAACAAATCCCGGTCGAGGCCAGAGAAGCGTCTATCCCGGTTGACACTAGCTTACGAACTGAAGGCAGCCGGCGCAGTGAGGTTCAGGGGGCCCCCCTCCCTCTCTATTTTTCCTACTGGTGAAAATATTGCTACCAAAAGCCGAATGAGTGGACAGAACTCCCCAAACAAAAATTAGCAAACGAGCATGACGTCATCACGTTGCCGCCCCCCCTGTCTGCGCAACCTCCCCTCCCCAGGAAGAGGAAGGGGGTGCCCCAGACCCTCGCGCTGGTGATCCAACCGTCAGTTCTTAGGCTGGATGTCAAAAACAGGCGAAAAAAAAACGCCGACCAGAGGGAGGGAAGGATGCCGGGAAGCCTCCGGGACTCGCCTAAAAAATGGCATTTTATTACATTCAATGCTGGTTTTCTGGGGGAGCCCCATCGGCTCCACGGAGCTACCTCTCCAAAGATAAGGAAAAAGAGGGAAGGACACGGGAGGCGGACACCATGCACCCTAAACTCAAAATCAAAAGAACTGGCAAAACCAAAGGACCCTGTGGACAACTCGGGAGACCCGAACTCTGGAACAGGAATGAAGGAAGGGAACCCGGGCAACCCAAAGCTCGTCCACAGCCACAGAGGCCAAGACACACAGATAACAGCGGAGAGCCGCAACCGAATAACATATGATGCACCCCTGCCGTGACCAACAAAGCATCAACAACCTAAGGACCCCTCCGGAAAGCAGCAGACCCAACTATCGCCAGAAAAGGAGACGGCTGCAAACGAACAAAACTACCAGCCTACCACCAGGACCAAACGAGCAGAAAAACACCCGTGCCGAAAAGGAGCATGAAACTCCCTGACCCGACCCCCAGAGGCCAATGCCAACAGGAAAAGAGCCTTACAAAAGCAATCCTGAACCAAAGGGGCCATGACAAAACGAAGAGAAGAGAGAAAAAGAGAGCACCCGACCAGGACGGCCCAGGAGGCGCACGAGCAGGCCGGAGGTGAAACAACGCACAAGACAGCTTGCAGAACGTAGCAGAAGTAAGATCAACACCGAACACAAGCTGCAGTGGCTCCACCAGCGCTGCACAATATGAGGTGACAGTATTCAGCATAAGATGACAGATCTGTAACAACTATGAAAGGAAGGACAAGACAATCATATCAGAGACCGAAGTACACCTATGCAGTGATAGGAAAAACCGGAAGAACCGCCAGGAAACTTCATACTGCTGCCAAGACGAAGCATGCAGGAGGGAGACCAACAACGAAGTCACCTGCGCCCCATACAAGTGATGATAGACTCAAGTCAGAGACTCCAGACGCGAAGACTCGAGGAGAAGAACCAGCCTTGTACCGGGCTGGACCAAACTGCTGAAAAAGGTGGAGCCGCAGGAAGACCCTTGGGTTCAAACACCGAGCAAGCAGTACCTGAAACCAAGGCTGGGCCGGCCACCAAGGAGCCAGAAGGACAACTCTTTCTTGGTAAGTATCCAAGCGAGCCATGACCTGGAACAACAGCTGAACCGAGGGAAAGAGGTGGGGGAAAGAAAGAACCGTGGGCGCCCTATCCCGCTTGCAGTCGGGGAGGGGCGCCACATATACCCAGAGAAGGGTGCGAAGGAAGGCTGTGGGCTGAACAACACCTTGGAGAACCATAGAAAAACCAGCCCTGGCACAAGGCCAAGGCAAAAGAACAACCCACAAGAAGGTCACCGAGACAGAACAAGCAGCACACACTACTGGAAACCAAGTAACCTGGACCCCACAAGAAAGGAAAGAGCTGCCAGCTGCAATGACCACCTAACAGGGGCCAAGGGAAGAAAATCCCTGGTGCCGGAGGCAACCAAGAAGCCCCACCAATGCAACAACCACAGATAAGAGAAACAAAATTAATACCAGAAATAATAGCCCTGGATTATAGAGAACACAGGAAATCCAGGGGAAGCAGGAGACACCAACAGAAAGAAGTGGCGCAAGATATGGTCTAGGGTATCCGAGACAGCAAGCGAAATGGAGCCAAGGAAGCAATAACCCCAAACGCAGGCAGAAGCTCTACCAACACCACACAACAAAAGGCAATAGCAGACAGCAAGAGAGAGACTGAACAAGAAGAAATGACAAAGAAGTGTGCCACATGCCCAGATAACGAAGAATGAAGAGAAAGAATGTGGTAGTAGAAAATGCCACCAACTCTTACAGACCATTGCCATGAAGAACTGCAATTGGGACACCATAAAGGAATGCAATTCCCGGTCCATTGCAGACATGAATACTTTCATACACGAGTTTCATAGGCCATTGCTCCCTGTGCCACTCTGAGGGGACCGTGTTCTGGCTAGTTGCCCCCAGTAGGCATGACAACTCCATATAACTGAAGCCCCATACTAATATTAGCTAATTTAAGTCCAATAGCTCTAGGGAGCCAATGGGGCTCCCCCACAGAAAACAGAAAACAGTGGTGAATGTAATGAAACACCATTTTCTGGTCAAGCCCCCTTGGAGGCTCCCTAAAGCTATCCAAACTGACAGGTACTCACCTAGTTGTGCTTGCAGGGGTTGAGCTTTGGCTCTTTGGTCTAGCCTCTCAACTGTCAATGAACTGGTGAAGAAGTTTTTGAGCCTACTAGGCTCTATCAAATCTACATTTGAAACTGTGTATGGAGTCTGCCTCCATCACATCACTGCTTAATGCATTCCATTTACTAACTACTCTGACACTGAAAAAATTCTTTCTAATGTCTCTGTGGCTCATCTGGGTACAAAGTTTCCACCTGTGTCCTCTTGTTCGTGTTCCACCCGTATTAAATAGCATTGACCACCCTGCTAATTCCCCTGAGAATTTTGTAGGTGGTTATCGTGTCTCCCCTTACTCTTCTGTCTTCCAGGGACATGAGATTAAGCTCCGTTAGCCTTTCCTCACAGCTCATACCTCTCAGCTCTGGGACTAATCTGGTGGCATACCTCTGAATCTTTTCTAACTTTGTCTTGTGATTAACTAGGTACGGACTCCAGGCTGGCGCTGCATACTCCAGGATTGGTCTGACATACTGTAAGTGGTATACAAGATCCTGAACGATTCCTTACACAAGCTTCTAAAGACAGTTCTTATGTTGGCCAATCTAGCATATGCCGCTGATAATATCCTTTTGATGTGGGCTTCTGGAGACAGATTCGGTGTGATATCAATCCCAAGATCTTTCTCTCTATTTGACCCTTGCAGGATTTCACCTTGCAGATGGTACCTTGTGTTCAGCCTCCTGCTCCCTTCGCCTAATTTTATTACTTTACACTTTCCAGAGTTGAACTTTAGTAGCCATTTTCTAGACAATTTCTCCAGTTTGTCCAGGTCGTCCTGTAGTCTTTGTCTATCTTCATCTGTCTTGATTCTTCTCATAATTTTTGCATCATCAGCAAACATTGAGAGGAATGAGTCTATACCCCCTGGAAGATCGTTTACATGTATTAGAAGCAGGATAGGTCCAAGTACAGAGCCCTGTAGGACTCCGCTGGTGACATCTCGCCACTCTTATGTCCCTCACAGTTACACGCTGTTTCCTGTGGCTTAGATACTTCCTTATCCACTGAGCACCTTACCTTACTCCTGCCTGTTGCTCCAACTTTTGTAACAGTCTTTTATGGGGTACTGTGTCAAAGGTTTTTTGACAGTCCAAGAAAATGCAGTCTGTCCACCCTTCTCTTTCTTGCCTAATTTTTGTTGCTTGGTCATAATATTCTATTAAGATTCTATTAATATAATCTATTAAAAATTCTATTAAGCCTGTGATGCATGGTTTACCATCTTTGAACCCATGCTGGTGTGTTACAAAGCTATTTCCCTCCAAAATGTGCCTACTGGAGACCAGCACCAGAACCTGGTCCACTCAGAGAGGCACAGGGAACAATGGCATATGAGCACTCTACATTTAGAGTATTGTCATGTCTGCCATCGACCGGGGACACCACAAGAAAGGTAGGCGAGACAATACAAACCTCCAACTGATTGAAAATTGCAACCTACGTCCAAACAGAGCCAATGAGCTCCCCAAAATTAAACTAAACAATGAAACAACCAAATCGTAATCCAACTAGCCCGCCCCCTCACTGAGAAAGGGGAATGGGAGCACGCTCTGGCGAACTGGCCATTCCACTCGCAGCTTGCAGAATGATGAAAACAGCCGATCGGAGGGTTGGAGTCCTATTGGCTCCCTGAAGTTCACTACCCACAGGTATGTAAAAGAGGGAAATACCTGGGAAGCGGTAGCGCCACTTATCTCAAGATGAAGAAGAGACAACAGGCCGTAACAGACATCCCAAAGTAACACGAGGCTGGAGAGGGCCTGGAACGTTGACGAGATATTTGGTGGCTAGGACCCTGTCTGAGGACCAAAACCCCCGTACCCGAATGTCGACCCCAAGCATATCCCTAAAAACTGCAGCAAGATCAGCAGATGTTCTAACACCACGAGCACAAGAGTAGACCGCAGGCTGGCTAGACCTGAAAACCCAGCGGACAACCTGAGACACACAAGCCCTGGAACAGGGAACCAGGGAAAAGGGAAACTGGGTCCACCCAGAGAGCACCCACAGTCAGGGAATCAGTGCCATAAACAAGACACAAAGCATGATGCACTCTCGGCCTAACCAACCAAGCATCAACAACCTATGGACCCCTCCGAAAGTCAGCCGTCTCAATCTTCGCCAGAAAAAAAGGAGAATGCTGCAAATGAACAAAACAACCCCCAGGGCAATAAGAACAGAAACCCCTGGACTGGAGAAGAGCATGATGCTTCCCCACCTGACCTGAGGCCAAAATCAACAAGAACAAGCCTTTTATAAAACAACCCCGGACCAAAGGAGCCATAACAAACCAAGAGGAGGAAAGAAGAGAGAGCCACTGATCCAAAGACCAGGACGGCTTAAGCAGCGGATGAGCAGGCTGGAGGTAACAAATGCATGGGAGATCTCCCGGAACGGAGCAGAAGAGAAATCCACTCAAAATGTAAGCCAGAGTGGCTCTGCCAATCTCGCACAAGAAGCAGCAATAGTATTCGGCAAGAGATGCTGGTCCAAAATGAGCCAAGAAAGAAAGAAAGGACACCACCACCAGCACAGATACAGACAACACCCACCGAAGGGAAAGGAAACGGCGGAAAGATCGCTATTCCGTCACTGAGACGAAGACCGCAGGAAGGACACCTTCTCAGAAGCTACCTGATCACCAAACAAGTGGTGATACACCCGAGGCAAAAAAAACAGACACAAAGAGCGGAAATCAAACTCTTCCTCTTTTTTTTGAGGAAGATGAACCAGCAAGGTACCTTACTGGCCCGACCCACTGAAAGAGTCTGAGCTGCGGAAAGACTCCTGGGACCGGACACTGAGCAAGCAGTGCCTGAAACGAAGGCTGGGCCGGCCACCGAGGGGCCAGGAGAAGCCCCCTCCCCAGATAGGATACAAGCCGAGCCAGAATCCTAAGCAACAATTGTGTTGGGGTACTGTGTACCACAATACAACCAAAGAATGTCTTCAGCAAAGGGCCCAAACAGAAGAATCCAAGATTCCTGAATAGCCCAAGTTTAGGCTCTCTACCCCAGTGGACAGGTTTAACAGGGACGAATTGCCGAACACACCAGAGAAGGGAGACTCTGGCCGTGCAAAGACAGAGTTAGAGGGGGCACACAGGTAAGAGAAACCCCTAGCACATGCAATCTGAAACCCCCAAAGAGCCAAGCTCACTCAACAAGACAGAAGCAAAACATGCATGTGAAGCTTATAACAAAATAGGAAAGAATGTACAAAAGAAATGGCCTCCCTCAAGACAACCAAGTCCAAGGATGGCCAGCATTTCGCTTGAAGCTTTGAGACTTGCTCACGAGTTGGCATGACCGGAAGCACTACAAGCTGTGAAGACACTGGCATCAGGAACAGAAATGACTAGGGGCGCTGGCTGAGAACCTGGTTCAGGCCAACCTGAGGTGGTGGATTGTCACCTGTTGCCTACGTCTCTTATGAGAGGGGGGGGCCAGGTTCTGGTTCAGGTCCCAGGTAGGCCAAACAGTTCTTTTCACAACTTATGTGACTTTCTAGTTTGAAGCAGTCTCAGGAAGATAGCTTTAGGAAGCCACAAAATGCCCCCTCCAGAAATCTATTAATACCAAATTATCAATATAAAAATAAACCACGACCACTTTGTATAAATCACAAATTAATATCACAATTTTTAGTGATGTTAAACCAAGAAATATACTCCTGAATACATCTTACCTTGTGCGAGCAAGAATAAAGTACCAGTTGGCAACTCCACCATTTGTGATCCACATCTTCTGGCCATTGATAACATATTCATCTCCTTTCCTTACAGCACGAGTTCGCACACCCGATACATCTGACCCTGCACCAGGCTCAGTCACACCATATGCCTGAAGGAATGTTTGATATTGCCAATAGATTTCATGCATGGTTGGTTGTTATCTTACACTAAGTGTATTTCCCCCATCATTATGAAAGTACAGAATTCTCTACTGTACTTCTAAAACATTTTTCAATGTCTAAAATTGCAACAACCTGTAAATAAACTACTTAAATCTTTTGATTATACAGTACAGGGTATTAACTTCATGCACAATGTCAGAACAGAAATTAGCTTCTCCATAAATTTGTCCTTATTATGAAAATTCCAACTGTGTGAGGGTAGGGTTAACTTTAATGCAATACGTGTTATGTGAGGTGGTTTTTCAGAATAGTATCCACTCGATTTAATGTCCTCTTATTTAACAATCTGCCAGTTCCATCGAACGGTTTGGGAGACTGGTATCTGGAGCCTCATATACCAGTCTGGCAGTCGATATAACCATAGGTCAGTACTGGGTTTGCTTTGGCCAGCGCGTCCTCACATGGCAAGCAGACCACTGACCTCGATCGTGCAGAGTCGTCAATTAAATCTTGGCTTTCTTTTAAAATGATAGTTTAATGAAGTAAATTCTTAATTATTATTAATACAAAAATTTGAAACAATTGTAATTAAGCAAATTTTTTTGTTTTCTTATTAAATACCTTTTATAGTATAGGCACCAGGTATTTTTTTCTAAGGACATGAACGTACTGTGTCGGGCCATGTTTCCTCATTGTTTACTATGGACTCGCACGGCTAGCTTCAATTTTGAAGGACATTACTGTCTCAGAACGTTAGCCAGAGATAATTAGATTCAGACAAAAATTGACAAATTCATGACTTCAATGGTCCATGAAAAATCTTCATCTACAAGCCATGCTGCACTCACTGGGAATTCAACAAGCCATGCAGCATCTACCAGCAACGAGTGCTCTACACTGCAGGTGCCATGCTGCACCTGCTGATGCTGAATTCCCATCAACAAGTCGTGCAGCATCTGCCAGCAACGAATGCCTACAAGCTGTGCTGCATCCACTGATGCTGAATCCCCATCAACAAGGCGTGCAGCTTCCACTGGCAATGAATGCCCTACAAGCCATGCTGCGTCCGTCGATTCTGAATTCCCATCAACAAGTCGTGCAGTATCTGCTAATGATGATATAAAATATGATTGAAATGCATATAAATTAGTGCCAAAAGTGTTGATAGAGTACAATACTTTAAGTGTTAATGAATAATTAAGCCATGACAAAAAGATATACTGGACAGTGTAAATACTGTACAGAAATAAGTTAAAATTGTACAAGTGCATTACAGCTGTTAATCAACTTTTTTTTTATTAAGTGCAGAGCATTACTCGCACATGAATTAGTAGTAGGCCTAGCTGTTATATGAAGTGAATGCCTGAAAATAAGTGTACATACATACATACAGTATGTACACTGAACAATGTAAAATAAGCACTGCAGAGGATGACATAATCTTCACAGCTTCATAAAAAACCAGTGTTGAATGTAATGAAACGCCATTTTCTGGCCGAGTTCTACCCAGAAAATGTGGATAGAACATAGAGTGGATAGAACTCCCACTACCCAGTGGGAGCTCTATCCACTCGTTTGTCTATTTTCGTCGTTTTAACCAGAATAGGGGTTTGTTTTGGGGCACTTACCTTTCTGGGTGCCTGTCCCAGTCGATGGCAGATATAGAATGCTTCAAAATCACACGTGCATTTCTATAGGCCATTGCTCCTCGTGCCTCTCTGATGAGGCCAGGGTCTGGCTCGTGGTCCCCAGTAGGCCTAGAACTCCAACCACATCGACTGATGCCAAAGTTAGGGATATTCATATCAGCCTGGATAGCTCCCCCAATAAAGTCAGTCAGTTTATCAATTTTATTACAGTATTACAACATACTATTTTTTTTAATGATAGCCCATATTAGTCTCTGCAAATGTATATTCTATCATTAACAGAGAAACGGTGAACTCAAAATGTTGTCTTGGCTAGCTGTGGGTTAGTGACAAGGCTCCAACACCATTGTCTTGGCTAGCTATGGGTTAGTGACAAGGCTCCAACACCATTGTCTTGGCTAGCTGTGGGTTAGTGACAAGGCTCGACCACCATTGTCTTGGCTAGCTGTGGGTTAGTGACAAGACTCCAACACCATTGTCTTGGCTAGCTGTGGGTTAGTGACAAGGCTCGACCACCATTGTCTTGGCTAGCTGTGGGTTAGTGACAAGGCTCCAACACCATTGTCTTGGCTAGCTGTGGGTTAGTGACAAGGCTCGACCACCATTGTATGGCCACCTGCCACACCCTGTGTCATAACATTAACAATACATAACCTGTATTGTACAGGCTAAAACAAAACACATCTATAAAATTTTATTGAGAAAACATTAACAATCATGGATTGATAGACAAAATATTTCACAATACAAAGGAATGAACCAATTTTTTTCCATCCATCTGTACTTGAACAGATCGTGTTCATGCATTATTCATGCAGTAGCCAACAGCTGGCTTAATCGTCGGCGCGGCACTAACTTGGAACGCAATTACACATTGAACTTTATTTCATTTTAGTTATATAAAATATATCTTACCTGAATGTTACTTGAAATATTACGGACACTTCAACAACTTCGAAAATACCAGTGCTCACCGCACTTAACAAGCTGGTACAGCACCATATAGGCCGTTAAATCGAGTGGAAACTGTACATTCCTTGTGCAGACTGAGGATTCACTTTCCTTATATTGTATTATACTCCACTTAATAATGCTTAATAAGTAAAGAAGTAATGGATAATTTGCTAGACTCACAAAAACCAAGCACTGACTGTAATGAAATGCTTGTTTTTGGTATAGCTCCTGGGGCTCCATGAACTTATCTTGTGCTGAGATGGCTCCAGCTAATTGATGACATCAGTCATGGAAGTTTGGTTTGGCCTATTGGGGACCAGGGCCAGAAGCTGGCCTCCTTATAGAGGCAAAGGGAGTGAATGACCCCACCGGAAGAGCATCCAGAAAGTCAGCAAAACAACGGGAGGGTCTTCAGAAAACAAAGCCTCGAAGCAACCAAACAACTCTGCAATGATTCACATGGAATACAAACATTCACTCAAGCTCAAAACTCGTTAGTATCAATCGCCATCACCAGGCAGCCTGGCTCCTGCCTAAAACTGAATACATGTCAGATCTGGAGCTGCTGAACACCCCAGTGATGAACTGACCAACCTGGAGGGAAGGGAGAGGAAACAGGGAGACACTGAGGCTCTACCAGAAAGAGGAATTTGATTATATTCAGTGCTGGGAATCTGGGAAAGCCCCCTTTGGGGCTAGCTGAAGATTACCACAGAGAACAAAAACTGAACTTACCAGCGAGAAGGAGAAGCAGCAGGCACATGGACTAACAAGAAAAACCAGGCCAGAAAACACCACCATGGAAGCTGCTAACACTTCATCTATGCTACCTGTATCAGATGCATCATCACTGAACCCAGAAAACAATTCATCTATGTATCATCTATATATATTGGAAATGGCATAAGTGGGCAAGAGTGGTGCTCAGAGCTACAACTGGAACGCTCGCTGTATCGTCCTCATAGGTGCTATATAACTTGCATCCGATCTTTGTGTTAGGTCCTTATTGCGCCTAGCTTCATCAATATCATGACCCTTATGTTCTTCAAACAATAAGGTCTGAATTTCAGTGACAGAGAGCGATCTTTCAACAATGCGTCGGACAGGTGTTTGGGAGCCAAAGGCACGTGCGCCACCCATGGATGCTCACTCAATACTAACCCAGCCAGCAGCCCTAGGACATTCTGGGAATTTTTTCCAAGATGGCTGCCTTTCACTGCAGGTACCAAGAGTCCATTTCGTACCCAACCTACAGCGAGCACGTTTCGACCGTGTACAAAAAAATAAAAAATACTGTACTTTTGTCGGGTGGCGCAGTAATGGGCGAATGGCATTTGTCATTTGGCACAGTGCAGTGGTTAAACTGGGTAGATTGACATCTCCAAAGAAGATAATTTCTGGAACTGGGTTTGCTAGGTTATCAAGGATATTCTCTATTTTGTGCATCTGCTCAGTGAATTCATCAACCATTGTGCTAGTCAGAATTGCATTTCTCCTTTGTAAACGCACATTAATGATGCTATGTAAAAAGAAACCTTGAACACTGTTTATGTGGGACAGACGTAAACCTGTGTATTTGTTTGTAGGTTAGAATAGCATTTTAAAAGCACTACAATCACCTTATGTGGTCGATTGTTCAATAAATCCCTGAATTATATGTTTAACAGATCTCCAACCCTGTACATGGAGGACAGAAGAAAATGAATATATGCTGGTTAGCATTGTAAATGTGTGGCCACGTCTGTGGTAGAAAATAATAATAATAAAAAATTGCATCTGGCAGTTTATATATTAGTATAATGATTTGGTTTTTAGTATTTTTCTATCTTGATTCTAAGTACCTCTACCACCTCATTAGTTGAGTTTAGTAACTCTGTGTGTGAGAGTATGTTCTCTCAAGATTCTCCCACAGGTGACTTCAATGGCTCATTGCAGTGCACAGTGCAAAAACTGGCTGATGTGACCTTTTAGCATGGAGTAATCTCAGGAAGAAAGCTTCAGGGAACCACAAGGCCTCCCTCCAGAAAAAACTGCCATGACTTAATTAATTTTTATTTTTAAACATTCATTGTATTACCAGTAAAATTGCAATGCATCCATTCAATTCAAATTTAAGAAATGGTAAAAAATTCAGAACTTACACATATTAGAGGTTCTTCTAACAAACGCCCCAGATACTTCTTCTTCTGCTCTGCATTACCCGCAAGGATCACAGGAATTTGCTGTAAGTTAAACAATGGTTAGACAGGCTCAAATTTGCGTCTTCAATGATTCAAGTGAATTAAATTATTAGACATGCCAATATATGCAGTTTATTATCTGATTAAAAAAAAAGCATTGAATGTAATGAAACGCCATTTGCTGGCCGAGGCTCAGAGGCTCCCCAGAGCTATCCCAAGCTGATATGTAACTATCAGCTTTCTGGCATCAGTCACAGTGCATGGAGTTCTTGCCTACCGGGGACCACGAGCCAGAATCTAGCCCCTCAGAAAGGCACGAGGAGTAATGGCCTATAAAAAACCGTGTGGTTGGAAGCATTCTATATCTGCCATCGACTGGGATCTGGCACCCAGAAAGACAGGCGCCCCAAAACAAACCCCCATTCTGGTGAAAATATTGCTACCGAAAGCCGAACGAATGGACAGAATTCCCCAAATGAAAACTAGCAAACTAGCATGGCGTCATCACGTCACTGCGCCACCATCTGTGCAACCCTCCCCCCTCCCCGGGAAGAGGAAAGGGGAGCCAACACGTGAGGCCTCACAGGCAACCCAAATGCCTTCAACCAGTGAGGCTTCAGCAGCTGGCAGTCAAAACTACTTTGCTTAATAATCTGTACTCTGTACAGTAATTTTAAGTGTTAATTTTAGTGTTGTGTTAGTATAGGTTAAGTAAATTGTTAAGAATTCTTAACTTCAAGATGTGTTGCATCAATCAAGAAGACAAACACCAACAAGGCAAGTTGAGGTTTCTAGTTGAATATTTAATAATTATATGTGGCATGGCAATTCAAATTATGTTGTTTGTAGTATAAAAATAGTTGAAAATGGTCACTTTTGGACTCGGAGGTGAAAAAGTACAGTACAACCTCGATTCAACGTACCCCGACTCAACGAATCTCCGGCTAGTTCGCACCTTTTTCAGGCCAGATTTACTCACCCGGTTCGACGAGTAATGGTACTTTCCCATTCCATCACAGGTTACAATTAATAATTATTTCATATGACAAGTTGGATCACACAAGTGGACTACACAAGTGGACCACACATGTGAACCACAAGTGGTCCACAAGTTTACAGTTTTGGGACAGAGTTCACAGAGTGGTGGAAACCTTTCTCATTCTATCACAGATTACAATTAATAATTCCTTCATAAGACAAGTTGGATCACACAAGTGGACCACACAACAAATAAACCATATGAACCAAACACCAGCCAGAATGGTCCACGTAACAAGTAAAGCATATTAACCAAACACCAGCCAGAGTGGTCCACACAAGTGAACGACTGAGTGTCCATGATTTTCGTACACTGATTTGTAGCACACGTATCTTTGTACATTAATTTAAAGGCTGAAGCGTGATTACCTAACCACATGTGGTAAAATCTCCTTATAGACATTTTCTGTGATGAAACAAGATGAGTGAGGGTGGACAGATAAGAGAATACTGTACTGTAAACCTCACTTTACAGTGAGGTTGCACTCACTTTCGTCTGTGTCGTCATAGCTCAGTGACCCATGACTTTGAAAGTTTCATATTAATAAATAATTTCTAAAACCAGTGTTTTAATAGCTTTTTATTATCCTAATTAAACTAAACTAAATAAAACCGAAAATATACTGTAATATGATAGACATCTGCTATTTGAGAAATTACTGTACGTTATTGGAACAACTCAAGCGTGAGTGGACGGGTCTAATCCCTGTACACACAGCACCATGCATGTTTCCTTTGATTTTGTCACCACAGTTCAGCGATTACAGCCTCAAAATAATAAAATTAATAAATCAGTTCTAAAATAAGTTTTTTTATATCTCTTATTATCCTCCCTCTCTTATTATCCCTCCCTCCTTCTCTCCAGCCCTCCCTCCCTCCCTCCCTCCCTCTCTCCAGGCCTCCCTCCCTCCCTCGCTCTCTCCATCCCTCCCTCTCTCCATCCCTCCCTCTCTCCATCCCTCCCTCTCTCCATCCCTCCCTCTCTCCATCCTTCCCTCTCTCCATCCTTCCCTCCATCCTTCCCTCTCTCCATCCTTCCCTCTCTCCATTCTTCCCTCTCTCCATCCTTCCCTCTCTCCATCCTTCCCTCTCTCCATTCTTCCCTCTCTCCATCCTTCCCTCTCTCCATCCTTCCCTCTCTCCATCCTTCCCTCTCTTCCTCCCTCTCCCTCTCCATTCCTCCCTCCCTCCTTCCATCCCTCCCTCCCTCCTTCCATCCCTCCCTCTCTCTCTCCAGCCTTCTCTCCATCCATCCCTCCCTCCCTCCCTCCCTCCTTCTCTCCATTCCTCCCTCCCTCTCTCCATTCCTCCCTCCCTCTCTCCATTCCTCCCTCCCTCTCTCTCCATTCCTCCCTCCCTCTCTCCATTCCTCCCTCCCTCTCTCTCCATTCCTCCCTCCCTCTCTCCATCCCTCTCTCCATCCCTCTCTCCCTCTCTCTATCCCTCCCTCCCTCCCTCTCTCCCTCTCTCTATCCCTCCCTCCCTCTCTCCATCCCTCCCTCCCTCTCTCCATTCTTACCTCCCTCTCTCCATCCCTCCCTTCCTCTCTCCATCCCTCCCTTCCTCTCTCTATCCCTCCCTTCCTCTCTCCATCCCTCCCTCCCTCACTCCATCCATCCATCCCTCCCTCCCTCCCTCCTTCCCTCCCTCTCTCCATCCCTCCCTCCCTCCCTCCCTCTCTCCATCCATCCCCTTTCTCCCTCCATCCATCCAGAATTTAAGAAACAAATCAAGTTAAACAAAAAAGTTAACTGGGTCAAGCAAATTAGGCTTATCAGCGAGCCAGTCCCTTCACCACCACCGACATACCTCCTCACCCCTACACCCCATACACACACTGCTTCACCTCAACTTAACATCCATACCTCTATCGCTCCCTCCATCCATCAATCCCTCCATCCCTCCCTCAAATCATCCATCCATCCATCCATTCCTCCATCAATCCATCCTTCCATCCCTCCCTCCATCCTTCCATCAATCCATCCATCAATCCATCTCCATCCTCTCCTTCCCTGGCTCCCTCCCAGCCACTGCCTGCCTGCCTCCCTCTCTACCTCCCTCCCAAGCTCTGCCTACCTGCCTGCCTCCCTCCCTCCCTGCTTCCCTCCCAAGCTCTGCCTGCCTGCCTCCCTCTGTGCCTGCCTGCCTTCCTCCCAAGCTCTGCCTGCCTGCCTGCCTCCCTCCCTCCGTGCCTGCCTCCCTCCCTCTGTGCCTGCCTCCCTCCCTCCCAGCCTCCCTCCCTGCCTACCTTCCAGCCTCCCTCTCTGCCTCCCTCCTAAGCTCTGCCTACCTCCCTCCCTCCCTCCCTGCCTGCCTGCCTGCCTGCCTGCCTGCCTGCCTGCCTGCCTCCCTCCCTCCCTCCCTCCCTCTGTGCCTGCCTCCCTCCCTCCCAGCCTCCCTCCCTGCCTACCTTCCAGCCTCCCTCTCTGCCTCCCTCCTAAGCTATGCTTGCCTCCCTCCCTCCCTGCCTGCCTCCCTCTGTGCCTGCCTCCCTCCCTGCCTGCCTACCTCCCAGCCTCCCTCTCTGCCTCCCTCCTAAGCTCTGCCTGCCTCCCTCCCTCCCTGCCTGCCTGCCTGCCTGCCTGCCTCTCTCCCTCCCTCCCTGCCTCTTCCTGCCTGCCTGCCTACATTTCAGCCTCTCCATCCCTGCCTGCCTGCCCATCCACCCACCAGCCAGCCATCACTGACACAATGAGTGCATTTGGAGCCGACATGGTGCACGGATGTTTCTTGATTGTGCAGATATGTCCAACAAAGTCACGGAATGAACACTCCAGCCTCTTGACAAATCAAAACATAGTGTTAAAATTAAAGTTGCAGTAATTTTAGTGTACAATAGTTTTCAAAAACTGTATTGTAGTACTCAACATACAGCAGAACTACTTAACACAGTGTTAACGGCATAATACACTACAGTATGTATTTACTGTACAGCATTCACAACTCCACGAGCCTTCAAGATGGACATAACTCCAACAATAAGATAAATAACAGATGTAACACAGTATTTGTTAGAAGAGTAATAATATATAGTACAGTATATAATATGATAATACATTTTTACTGTCTACAAGAAAAAAAAGTCACTGACACAAACGCCTCCTGAAGGTCACCTCTTGCAGTGAATCCAACGCTCCAATGAACTGGGGTTGGTCCCATATAGTATGTTGAATCGAGGTTGTACTGTACCAGTATCCAAAACAAGTGAATATCCGGCTGGGAGTCCTTCCCATATAGTCCGGACAATCGAGTGGAGACAGTAGAGAGAAATCCAAAATATTTTTTCTCCTATGCAAAATCAAGATCAAAAACCACATCTAGTATTGGGCCCCTGCAAAAGGGAGATGGAACTTTCACCGATGACAACAAAGAAATAAGCGAGTTACTGAGGAAGCAGTACGACTGTTTTCAGCGAGCCACTAAATACACTAAAGATTGATAACCCACATGAATATTTCATTGACATGATACCAACATCAAATCATATATCAGACGTCACCCTATCCCCACTGGATTTTGAAGAAGCAACAAACAGTATGCCTATGCACTCAACCAGGCACTGATTCTTGGAACTCCATATTCATCAAGAACTGTAAAAAAACACTATTGCAGGCCCTTCACATTCTTTGCAGACAAAGCCTAGATACTGGCATTATCCCTGACATACTAAAAACAGCATAGATAGCACCACTCCATAAAGGAGGAAATAAGGCAGAGGCAAAAAATTACAGACTGATAGCACTAACATCACACATCATAAAAATCTTTGAGTGAGTGCTAAGATGTAAGATCACAAAATACATGGAATCACAGCATCTCCATAACCCCGGACAACATGGTTTCAGGACAGGGTGCTCTTGCCTGTCACAGTTGCTGGACCACTATGACATGGCATTAGATGCCATGAAAGACAAACAAAATGCTGATGTAATTTACACAGATTTTGCAAACGCTTTTGACAAATGTGACCCTGGTGTTATTGCACATAAAATGTGTTCAAAAGAAATTACCGGAAAAAGAGGCAGATGATCTATAATTTCCTGACTAACAGAACCCAATGTGTAATAGTCAACAAAATAAAATCCGGTCCATCAGCCATGAAGAGCTCAGTCCCCCAGGGTACTGTGCTTGCTCCAGTACTTTTTCTCATCCTCATATCGGAAATAGACAAGGACACAATCTATAGCACTTTATCATCCTTTACAGAAGACACTAGGACTTTCATGAGAGTAGACAACATAGAGGACATGGCAAACCTCCACTCAGATGTAAATCAGGTCTTTTTATGGGTTTCAGAAAATAATATGGTGTTTAACGAAGATAAGTTCCAGCTCTTGCACTACGGAAAAAAATTAAAATATAAAAGCAGAAACCACGTACAAAACTCAGTCAAATCATAACATAGAACGAAAAGGCAATGTAAAGGATTTGGGTGCACTCAAGTCAGACGACCTTACTTTTAAAGAACACAACAAAGTACCCGTCACAACTGCAAGAAAAATGACAGGTTGGATAACAAGAACTTTTCAAACTAGAGATGCTATACCAATGATGATACTCTTCAAGACGCTAGTGCTCTCTAGAGTGGAGTACTGCTGCACAATGACAGCCCCTTTCAAAGCTGGAGAAATTGCTGAACTGGACAGCATGCAGAGATCCTTTTCTGCTATAATCCACTCAGTAAAACATCTAAACTATTGAGACCGACTAAAGAGCCTAAATCTGTATTCTCTAGAGTGCAGGCGGGAAAGATACATAATAATCTACACATGGAAAATAGTAGAGGGGCTGGTCCCAAACCTGCACACAGAAATAACATCACATGAGACCAGAAGGCATGGCAAGCTATGCAGAATACCCCCGTTGAAAAGCAGAGGTGCAACAGGTACTCTGAGAGAGAGAACTCTATCAACATCAGAGGCCCAAGACTGTTCAACACGCTCCCACTATACATAATGGGCATAACTGGCCGACCCCTCACAGTGTTCAAGAGAGAACTGGATAAACACTTCCTAAGGATACCTGATCAACCAGGCTGTGATTCGCATGTCAGGCTGAGAGCAGCCGCATTCAACAGCCTTGTTGACCAGTCCAGAAACAAGGAGGCCTGGTTGACGACCGGGCCGCGGGGACGCTAAGCCCCCGGAAGCACCTCAAGATAACCTCAAGGTAAGCCATCTCAGCAAGATAGCTTCAGGGAGCCACAAAGGGCTTTTCCCTAGAAAGTATAAAGAAAGGAACATTTAGTAACTACTCATGGATAACTATGAGATCACTTATGAGCTTACCCCTAAGTTAGTGGATTCCATTGCAGTTTGAACTCCACTGCAAGCATAAGCAATCTCTTCTGTGATGAGGCACCCTTCAAATGTTCCTAGTCCCATTCCACCAATATCGGCTGGAATGTGTGCATTCATGAGACCCAACTCCCAACTCTGTTGATACAAAATAGAATTAAAAATATACTGTATATGGTATTGCCTGAATAATAAATGAATGTAACAAGTGGAAAAGTAGTAGGAAGTTACTACAGTAACTTTCTACTACTTCTATATATAGTATACAATACAGTACTATACATAAATAAAACAGTAAATTAACACTTTCGCCCAGAGGTGGCGCCGGACAGCGTCACCAAGTTTTGTCTTGTTTCCGCATGGGTGACACTGGCTGGAGTCTCGAGAAAAAATATTTGTATAAATTCCAATTTCTATCCGATCTACTGGTACTTGGGGATAGTTTACAAATGTTCGCCATGAAATTTACGTTTTCTTTAATAGCCGAAGAGCTTATTTGGGAGAACGGCATAACAGTGAATCATCGTGGTAAAACAATTGTATTATTGACATGACGAGTATAATCAACGTAGTTTTTATATTTGTTGCCGGTCGAACGCATCCTTATGTGACGTTTTATACTTATGTTCTTCTAGAACATTCTATTGCGAACACATTGGTACAAAAATGAAATACGTACATCGAAAAATAATGTCAGGACAGTGAATTGAATATACACTTTTCAATGCGGGTTTCACCGATATGCCACCGCGGGTAACACTTCGGCCACTTTCCACACTCTTGTGGGTGGGCTGCGACACTGATTCTATATTTATATGCATATGTCCGTGCAGGGAATTTTATTGTGATTTCAGTGATACCAAAATTAACCCTGTAGGACAAGTGTGGAGTTGACAACCCTGAAGATAGTAGAAACATTTCGTTGCTGTCTGGCGCTCACGGCTAGTGATTAAATGGGTTTTTTTATTTGGTGCTGATCTAACTTATGTTTTGGTGACATTTTATACTTATGTTCTTCTAGAACATTCTATTGCGAACACATTGGTACAAAAAGGAAATACGTACATCGAAAATTAACATCAGGACACTGACAAGAGTATACACTTTTAAATGTTGCCGCTCGATCGCCAGAAACGCTAATCGCACTTGGGGAAAGTTTTTTTTTTCATTCGCCGGAACGCAAAAGTGTTGAAAACCAACATATCTGAACCTATGCTAATTTGGCTGCTCATTTGTGATCCCATATTTTGTTGTTGATCAATACCAATTACAGTACTTTTTTGTTGATCTGTACCCCCCCCCCCCTACTAATTCATCCCTGCTCTGTAGACCTCGAGTTCACTGCTGATCTGCACCTCCTTCAACCAACTTTCCAGTAAGTGTTCAATAATCAATCAGCTTGCACATCACATCAATATACTGTGCAGTACTTTACATACACTGGGACTTTGCTTGAACAGATCATTGTGAGCCAGAATCCTAGGTAGGCCAGAAAGAACTGGATAACAGATAAATTCTTGATGAACCAGAACTTGGTGTCTGTTTCATCAAGCTGTCCTGTTAACCTGGGTCAACGCACCCAACAAAATACCTGTACAGTACTGTAGTTCACATTTTTTCAAAGTTTATACTATTCTCCTGTTTTTAGTCTAAATACAAATAAAATGAATGCTTTTGTGAATGTTTTCTCCAGTTAAGTCTTGACTAAAAGGTAGTGTTGTTTGGTTAAGTGACTGTGTGGAGCTGCAATATAGACATATCGTCAGTGGAGTCGTCTCGGCTGCATTTTTTCTTCTGTGAATTTATCACAATATCTGTTTCTCAAGAATGTTTATCAATTTTTCTATTTATATTTAGTTATTCCTGAATTAAAAGTGTCAAGCAGCAAAAAAAGTAGTGAGGCTAAGCACAGTAAGGTGAAGAGGAGGTATCTGAAAAGGAAAGATAGGTTTAAACTGATTGAGAAAAAGCAAGCAATGCTGGCAAGTGAGGAGGCTGGCAGAGAAGTTTGGTACTATCACTTGCACCGATTATGACACTTTGTGCATCTTTGATTAATATAGTGAATTGTCACTGCACAACACCTACAAAGAGTTATACGGAGCAGCTTGGTCATCTCCAAGTAAAAGATTTGTTTGTCTTCAACTATTTTTCCTCAAGTAAATTTAAATTGGTTCTTTATATAACATCTAGTGGTCTACATGTGCACAAAGATATGTTCTATCATTTGGGGTCAGAAAAAAAGTAAAACAGCTTAAAATAGCAAAAAAACAGCGATGAATGTAATCAAACGTCATTTTCTGGATGTGACCCGTCGGCTCCCTGGAGCTATACAGGCTGATATGCTAATGTCAGACTTTGGCATCAGTCATGTGTATGGAGTTCTGTGGGCCTACCGGGGACCTCGAACCAGAACCTGGCCCCCTCAGAAAGGCAAGGGGAGCAATGGCCTATAGAAACCCCCGTGTAGTTGGAAGCATTCTATGTCTGCCATTGACCGAGTCGGGCACCCAGAAAGGTAAGCGTCTCAAAACAAACCCCCTATTCTGGTTAAAATTGCTACCTAACGCCGAACTAGTAAACAGAACTCCCCAAAAAGAAACGAGCAAACTAGCATGACGTCACACATTAACGTGCCACTGTCTGTGCAGCTCCCCCCTCCCCGGGAGGGAAAAGGGGGAGCCCCAGACCCCCACGCCGGTGATCCACACCCCAGTTCTGAGGCTGGACGTCAAGAAAACGCGAAAACCGCTGACCGGAGGGAGGAAGGGATGCCGGGAGCCTCCGGGTCACACCCAGAAAATGGAGTTTCATTACATTCAACACTGGTTTTCTGGGGAGACCCCCGTCGGCTCCCCGGAACTAACTACCCACAGAGGAAAGTAGAGGGACTCATCCGGGAGGTGGTCGCTGCTCGCTCCGCACTCAAAACCGAAACAACCAGCTGCAACCGCCGACCCAAGGTGACACAGGCCCAACTAGGTTCAGGAACGTGTACGAGATAACGAGCAGCCAGGACCCCACTCGACCGCCAAAAAATTCCATGCCCAAATGTCAAACCAGGTCACTTTGCCAAAAACGGCAGCAAGAACCACGAACTTACGAACGTCACGAGCACAGGGATAGACTGCAGGCTGGCTAGCCCCAAGACTCCTGAGGACGACCTGGGAAACCTGCACCCGTGAACAGGGAAGAAGGGAAATCGGAGCAACCCAAAACGCAACCACGGACACAGAAGCCGAGGCATGCAAATAACGGCGAAGAACCACCACAGGCCACAAAACACGATGCACCCCTGACCTAACCAACCACGCATCAAAAACTCAAGGAACCCTCCGGAAAGCAACAGTCTCAATCTTTGTCAGATAAGAAGGAGACGCCTGCAGACGAACAAACCTATCACCCCGACCGAAGGAGCAGAAAACCAGAACCGGAGGGGGCCACCATAAACCGAGAAGAAAAAAAAGAGCACACTGTCCAAAGACCAGGGCAGCACAGGTGGCGCATGAGCAGGCTGGAGGTGAAACAACGCATGTGACAGCTTGCAGAACAGCTTAGAAGTAACATTAATACCGAATGCAAGCCGAAGCATCCCCCGCCCCTTCAGAGCACACTCACTTTCCCCTTCAGAGCAGGAGAGATTGCTGAAATAGAGGGAATACAGTGAACATATACGGCACGCATAGACAAGATAAAGCACCTAAATTATTGAGATCGTCTCAAAGCTCTCCAAATGTACACACTAGAAAGGAGACGAGAGAGAGATACCAAATAATATACACATGGAAAATACTGGTGGGACAGGTCCCAAATCGACACAGTAAAATAACAACGTACTGGAGTGAACGATATGCAAGAAAATGCAGAATAGAACCAGTGAAGAGCAGAGGTGCCATAGGCACAATCAGAGAACACACTATAAACATCAGAGGTCCGCGGTTGTTCAACGTCCTCCCAGCAAGCATCAGAAATATTGCCGGAACAACTGTGGATATCTTCAAGAGAAAACTAGATTGTTTTCTTCAAAAAGTGTCGGACCAACCGGGCTGTGGTGGGTATGTGGGCCTGCAGGCCACTCCAAGCAACAGCCTGGTGGACTAAACTCTCACAAGTCAAAGGCTTGAGGAGTAGAACAACTCCCAGAACCCCATCAAGCAGGTATCAAGCAGGTAAGCAGCTCCCCCAGAGCCACGCAATACGAGGCGACAGTATGCGGCAAAATAACGGCCCAGAACCCCCACAAGAGAGGAACAAGACAATGCCAACAAAACACAGCCACCTAAGAAGGGACAGAAGGAAAAGGAAGGGCCGCCAAAATACCCCACACCGCCGCCCAAGAAGCATGCAGGTGGGACACCAGCAATGAAGCCACCTGACCACCAACAGAAGGCGAGACTCGAGGCAGAGCCCAACAAGTCGTTTAAGAGGCGGAGCTGCGGGAAGAAAACGGGCGCGACCACCGAGCAGGCAGAGCCAGAAACTCGAGCCAGCAAACAAGGAGATGGAACATCTGCCATACCAAAAAACATCCCAATGCCAGCGAGCCGCCAGAAGGTTGTTGACCAAGACCCTGACAGACTCCAGAGAAGGGACATCGCGAGACTCCAAAGATGCCAACAGGCCAGGAAAGCCAGGAACCAGAATCGAAACCTGGCAATAGGAGACCCAAAAGGCACAAACAAAACACACGTGTAGTATAAAAAGAAGCTGAGGAATGAAGAAGGTAGGCAGCAAACGGGAACGAAGGGATAGGTCCAACACCAAAAGCCACTGGACATGTCCCAACATGTCATCGGGAGACTGAAAGATCCAAAGGGGACATGGCCACCACAAGCAAAATCCACAGAGAAAGTGAGAGGGTAGAGAAATACAAGCCAAGGAACACATGGGGCACACATAATGGGGGGAAAACATGCTGAACTGAACGCCCAAATGAGCTGTAGAAAAGAGAGAAGAAGCATACTAGTGTCAGAAGGAGACAATAGGAATGCATGAAGAAGGAATGTGGTGGAGGCAAACCCCACACCCAGTGTCAAGCGCAGATAAGAGAGCCTAGAAGGCTCAAGAACCTGTACAGAAGTCGAATGACAGGCGAGAGGCGGGACTAGGAGCCAAAGCTCATCCCCCAGCAAGCACAACTAGGTGAGGACAACTAGGGGAGTACAGAGAATCCAATGTACATAGAAAAACTAAGCCAGGTACAGCAAGACCAGCAAGGAATGAGGGGGCCCAGAAAATCATGGCAACAAAGAACCCAAACAAGGAAGGCCCCAGGAAAAAGCACAGAAGGTCCGAACAAAATGCCACAACCATGCCCCAACACACAACCGCAGTATCAAAACCGCAGCAAAACGTCACCACATAACACCCCTCTAACACAGGAACATGTACCACATAGCAGGCACCTCCACCTGTGCACCTTGGAACACAGTGGAGGTGGGACCCTGAAACTGAAGCATGGATGGACATGCATAGGAGAGGGACTAGATGCGTATAGTCAGGAGCTGACTCGTATGGGCCAAGAGGCCTCCCACAATCACATGTGTTCTGACGTACGAATCGGGAGGTTAGGAACAAGAGCCGCCATGTATGGGCCAATAGGCCTCCTGCAGGCACCCCTGTTTGTATATTCTATGTTCTCATGTACGCATGTACTCCCATTCGTACCCCCAAAAAACGAACCAGCGCCTGGACGAAGGAGACACCAGACCGCATAAACTCGCCTGCAGAACATAGGCACGGAAGGGTCATGACAATTTTACTAAGTTGGTGTCGCCAGAGGCAGCTAGGGTATCGTGCACCCGCAGCCAAGAAAACCGAGAGCACCACCCATGGAAGCTGGCCAGAGCCGCTCATGTAGGAGAAGAGGAGGGGAGAGGCGAAGGAGGCGCCCCCACCCAAAATGCAGGGAAAACCCGGCGCCCTCCCCATAGCGGCACTCCAGACCACCCCCAGGAGCAACGGGGCACGGACTGGAGAATGAGAAGAGCGAGAGGCAAAGCACTCTAGAAAAAAATGGACGGAGAAGACCAGCATTTGTGCACACCAACCGAACCAAAACAAACTCCCACGGCGCATGCGCAGGACACTAAAGAAAAGTAGCCCAACAGTTTGTATCCAGAGTGACTCGCTTAAGAGAAGAAACAGCCCAATGCACGGGAGTAGAAGCCAAAAAAGAGTAAGCAACGACACACATAGCCAGCTCATTTAATGAAAACAATGAACCGAATTGGGCTACCAGTAGCCCATCCGGGACACAAGCAGCCCAACCTGGCATTCCGGACCAGGAGTATGGAAGGAAAATGAGCAGTGCCGAGACACAGCATAGAGAGAAGATACATGAACAAAAGAACGAGACAGGGCCGAAAACCAAGAGGAAGCACGAAAGAAGACCAACAAACCCCAGAAAGAACCAGAGGGAAGCCTCACCAAAAAATGACAGACGTTCCAATAATACGGGGAAGGAGCAAAATCCAATCCGAACTTTCGAGAACACAGAAGCAAGCACAAATGACGAAGGCATAGAAAGGCCCAGTTGCACCCGAGACCAAAAGTCATGCAGAACCCCAAGACGGGAACATGACGGAGAAGTCCCGTCCCAAGAAAAAGGGGTGAAGAACGGAGAAGAGCACCCACTGACAGGATGGAACCAACGGGCATAAAGGACAATGAACCAGTGCCGGGAACCCACACGGCAGGCCCCGGGGCCGAGCCATTCCCCCAAAGCCCCAGCCTCACAAGAAAAACTGGGGCAGCCGTGAAAAGCACAAAGGAAGGGAGCCCACTGGCAGACTCATACAGCACGGCTGGAGTAACAGGCTCGAATGACCCCGTCGCTACCCCGGAAAGGGAATTCCCCGAGACCAACCAAGTCTCAAAACCATGGAAGCCCCGCCCCAACCCCGAACCTACAGATGGTAAGGACCCAGATGCAGGGAGGAAGGGAGGAGGGACCCGACAAAACCACCAACCAAAACGGGGGAGCCACGGGGCTTCCAGGGAGCAAACAACCTAGCGCGTTGCCACCGAAACTCAACGTGCAATGCCCGTGCTGCCTGCACCCACATAGTCAGCATAAGACTGGGTAACCAAGACACAAACAAGCAACAAAACTCGCAGGACTCCAGGCCGAAGGTGTCACCGACCCCACAGGCAGCAGACAGAGGCAAAACAATGAAAGTCACCCCGAGACAAGGGGACAGAGCAACCCCTCGAACTCACACAAAGCGAGGGGGGACTCCGGGGCCACATCCATTGGGCCCACGCTCCACCTAGGGGTTTCCCCAGGGTCCTGAGCGTTTACTATAAAAGGACTCATGCTCAGGTAATCCCAGGCAGGGTACTGCTAACCGGCGCCCATGTCTACCAAACAACTTTCTAAGAATTGAACCCCTGGGACGTGAACACTCACGGGGACCTAGCAGGGGGAACCACTAGAAGAAGGCAGAGAACTCAGTAGAAAGGGGGAAAGAACCAAAGGCAGACCCCCCCCACCAGGTAGACAAACAAAAAGAAAAAAAAAACTGCAAGAGTACAGCGTACCCAGGCGGAACAGAGCCAGCTGCTATGATTGGTGAAAACAAGCTGCGCAGTACTCTGTGCCCCTACCAGTGCAAACTGCCCGTTACCCTAAGGTGAACAAGGGAGACAGAACATCCTATCACACAAAGGGCGGCCAAAAACCAAGCAGTAAACGGCCTAGCAAAAGCAGGACCCAAGGAGCTTGTGAAAGGTAACCCCAAGCCCCAAGAGCAATACTTACAGGGCACCTAGGGAAGGTAAACCCTAGGCGCATGCAGCCCGAGTACTGGAGACTCACTCCCGGCTCACACACCACCTAGAAGACAGACACCACACTCTAGGTACAGTGCTGAAACAACCACTGGAGCCGGAGCACACAACCCGCGCCTATAGCATCAGCCGAAGAACTGGGGGTGTGGATCACTGGCGTGGAGGTCTGGGGCTCTCCCTTTCCCCTCTCAGGGAGGGGGGAGTTGCGCAGACAGCGGTGCAGTGACGTCATGCTAGTTTGCTCACTTCTTTTTGGGGAGTTCTATTCACTAGTTCGACGTTAGGTATCAATTTTAACCAGAATAGGGGTTTGTTTTGGGACGCTTCCCTTTCTGGGTACCCAACCCAGTCGATGGCAAACATAGAATGCTTCCAACTACACAGGGGTTTCTATAGCCCATTGCTCCCCTTGCCTCTCTGAGGGGGGCCAGGTTCTGGCTCGTGGTCCCTGGTAGGCCCACAGAACTCCACACACATGACTGATGCCAAAGTCTGACATTAGCATATCAGCCTGTATAGCTCCAGGGAGCCGACGGGGCTCCACCCAGAAAAATGGTGAATATTAAGTAGTTCAGAATCCTCAGTGAAACAAAAAAGGTTTGGTCCTAACCAGTCTGTTCAAGCAAGGTTAAGCTCTATGGTACTTTCATAAATCCTTCTTGAGAACTTCTTGATCAACCATTAATTATTCACAACATTCACATACCTTTTTAATTAATTCCCAAGGGTACTCCATGGTGCGGTCAAGTTCAGCTGCTTTTGGAAGTACTTCCTCCCGAGCAAACTTCCTAGCCAATTGCTGAATCTCCTTTTGTTCATCCGATAAATCTTGAATGAAATATGTGCATGTATTGTCAGATATTAAAAAGTTTAACTGTATAATATACAGAACTGAACACATACTGGATAATATATATATATACAGTAGCACCTCTATTAACAAGTTTAATCCGTTCTGGCACTGAGCTCGTTATGTGGAAAACTTGTCTTAAGAAACAAATTTCCCCATTTAAAATAAAGGAAATAAATTTAATCCGTTCCACTCCCAAAAACATCCATACTTGAATGACATTTTTTTATGTACTGTATATATAATACTGCACATGTAATTATAAATATTTTGTTGTACTGTTTTCATGTTTACTTTACCTTATGAAGAGTCGTTGCTGATTTGAGAGAGACGCTGGGAGGTGGGAAGGAGGAGAGGGGTTATGGTGTGGAAGGAGAATCCACCTCTGAGTCAGGCGGGCTCTCCATTCTTGGAAATTTCAACCCACTGGGACCGGGTTGTGGTTCACTATCACTGGCTCTTCTTTTCTCTACTTTTGCAAAGAACGTATCTATTGACAATTGCTTTTGTCTTTGTTCTAGGATGTTCCTAAAACAAGACAGCAAATTGTCATTAAACATGTTCACACACCGGGTTGTCACTGCTTTATCAGGGCAGTTTTTCCAAGAATGCGGTCACCATTTCAAACATTCCCAACACTTCCCTGATCTCACTGGAAGAGGCAGCATCCTCCCTTACCTCCTCATCCACTTACTAATGGTGCAAATTGTTGATGAGGCCCTGCCATACTCCCTTGTGATATCAGTCACACAGACACCACGCTCATGCTTTGCTATAATTTCCTTCTTTAAATCCACAGTAATTGTGTCTTTCTTCATCTTGACAACACTATCTTTAGCAAGCAGCTTCTTTGGCGACATCGTGCGTTACAAATTGTATTCACAAAACCACAAAAAAACAAAGAAAAGCACAAATAAATGCAAAGGAATGCTTGTCGTGCACGATACAACAACAACACTGGCGTCGGAGGCGTCTGAGAATTTGAGAGAACCCATGAGACGCTAGGAAACAGGATTGGTGGGGAATGGATTAATTCAAATCCCTTTATTTCTTATGGGAAAAATCGCTTCGACTTACGATCCATCTCTGGGAACGGATTAGCATCATAAGTCGAGGCCCCATTGTACCTACCTTTCTGGGTGCCTAACCCCAGTCGATGACAGATAAGGAATACCCCCAAACACAAGGGGGTCTCTTTAGGCCATTGCTCCCTGTACCTTTCTGAGGGGGGGCCAGGTTCTGGCTCTGGTCCCCAGTAGGCAGGACTCCATTGACTGAAGCCCCAGACTAATACAGCGCATCTCAGTCCTATAGCTCCAGGGAGCACAACACAAACATGCAATACAACCATACTGTACTCGACATACAGGTTCATTACAAGAGTACTAGTAATTATATTTTTGTTTATCAATATACTCTAGTGAAGAATAAAACTAAATTTACTTATTTTTAGTAAATTTTGTTTTGTAAATGAAAATTAAATTCCTCTTACCAAAACAGATGCCACCCTTGCCACGTGGTGCAGTTCCTGCAACAGTATGCTCTAAAGCAGTACTTCGTAGTTGCACACATGATCGTGCCACTGGTCCAGCTCGCAGTAACTGCAATTGTTAAATTAAATAAACATTAACAACTTTAAATGGAATTACAGTACCTGTTAGGCAAATGAAAACAAAAGATGAAGCAGCTCTGAAATCTACAAAGGTAATCCAGGGATGAATATCAAGAAATCAACAGGTTTTCACTGCTGCACAATAGGTTATTTGTAGAATCAATCTAACAAACCTGAGCAGACAAGCAAACTGATAGCCAAGTGCAAGTAAAAAAAAAAAACAGCATTGAATATAAAGAAATGCCATTTTCTGGGTGAGACCCAGAGGCTCCCCAGAGCTTATCCAGGCTGATATGCTAATGTCAGACTTTGGCATCAGTCATGTGTATGGAGTTCTATGGCCTACCGGGGATCACGAGCCAGAACCTGGCCCCCTATTAAAGAGGCAAGGGGCGCAATGGCCTACAGAAACCCCCGCGTGGTTGGAAGCATTCTATATCTGCCATCGACTGGGTCAGGCACCCAGAAAGGTAAGCATCCCAAAACAAACCCCTATCCAGGTGAAAATTGCTACCACAAGCCGAACCGATGGATAGAACTCCCTTAAAAGAAACGAGCAAATGATCGTGACGTCACACGTTGCCATGCCGCTGTCTGCACAGCTCCCCCCTCTCCGGGAGGGGGATGGCAGAGCCCCAGACCTACCGCGCCGGCTATCCACAATCAGTTCTGAGGCTGGATGTCAAAAACGCGAAAAACCGGTGACCGGAGGGAGGGAGGGATGCTGGCGAGCCTCTGGGTCTCACCCAGAAAATGGCAATTCATTACATTCAACGCTGGTTTTCATGGGGGAAGCCCCTTCAGCTCCCCGGAGCTGACTACCCACAGAGGAAAAAAGAGGGATGTACCCGGGAGGCGGTCGCCACACACTCCCCAACACAAAGTCAAGACAACTGACTGCAACCACCAACTCAAGGTGACACAGGCCCGAATGGGCCCGGGAACGACACAAGACATCGAGCAGCCAGGCCCCTGTATGACCGTCAAAAGCCCTGTGCCCGAATGTCAGCTAGGACATGCTGCCAAGATGGTAGCAAGAGCAGCGAATCCACAAATGCCAGGGGCACGGGGAAGGAACACAGGCTGGCTAGCCGCAATAACACAGCGGACAACCCGGAAGACCGTCACTCGTTAACATGGAAAAACGGAACCGGATCAACCTAAAGCGCGTCCCAGACACAGAAGCCGTTGCGCGCAAATAACAGCGGAGGGCCGCAACCGAACACATAACACGATGCACCCTTGGCCCGACCAGCCAAGCACCAGCAAACCAAGGACCCCCTCCGGAAAGCAGCAGTCTCATCCCGTGCCAGAAAAAGGGAGACGGCTGCAACCGAACAAACCAATCACCATGACCGAAGGTGCAGAAGCCCCTGCACCGGAAAGAAGCTCACCAACCCAATCCCAAGAGGCAAATACCAACAGGAAAAAAAGCCTTTGAGAAACAAACCCGAACCGAAGGGGTCACAACCAATCAAGAAGAGGCGGAACCGCAGGAAGATCTCGAGCACGACCACCGAGGAAGTAGAGCCAGAAACCCAAGCCGGCAAAGAAGGAGATGGAACGTCTGCCAAACAGAAAAACTCCCCAACATGAGCTAGCTCGCCAGGGGATCGAAAACTACAGGTCTAACGCGAGATTCCAGAGAAGGAACACCACAAGACCCTGAAAATGCCAACCGGCAGGTCAAGATAGAAAAACAGGAGCCCAAACCTGGCAACAGAAAGGCCCAAAGGCACAAACAAAACACACAACAGTGTGAGGAGAGAATGAGAAAAAGACCAAAAGAACAGCCCCAACAGCCAGGGACAAGAGTGAAGCAAGACAATGAGGAACGAAGAAGGCATGCAGCAAAATGGGAACGATAGGGACAAGACCAACCCACAAAGTTGCAGGCCCTGTCCCAACAAACCAAACTGAAGAAGGTGCAAAGGGTTGCCACCAGACCAGCACCCGAACCAAGGGATACGAGCAACGAAGACAGACCAATAAACACAAGTGTGACGCACCATGCGACACAGGCGGAAGGAGCACTCAAAAAGCCAAAGGAACACAAGAAGGAAACATTCCAGCGGCAGAGCAGTAAACAAATGGAATGCACGAGAAGTGGGGAGGCTGACCCCACCCACAGCTGTAAGTGCAGACATGACAAAGCCCAGGAGATGTCAGGGAAGCAACAGGGAAGAGGCAGGACGAAAGAGCCTAAGCTCAACCCCAGGAAGCACAACCAGGGGTGGACAACCCGGCGAAGACAGAGAAACCAATGTACATAGAAGGGCCAAGCCAGGCACTCTAAAACGGGAAAGGAAAGAGGGACCACAGAGAAGACCACGAAAAATGCCACAAGCAATCCTCAACACACAACCCCAGGCGCAAAACTGCAGCAAAATGTCACTGCACAACATCCCGACACAGGAACAAGGACCACATGTCACTGTGGTACACGTTAACAATGCACACGTGCACCAGCAACATGCAACATGTAGCAACTTCTCTCAGTGAAGGTAGAGAAATGGTGGAGGCTGACTCCAGACAGGGTCAAACGTAGATACGATAGAGCCCAGTAGGCCTAGGATCCTGCACACCAGGTGACCGACGGCGGAGAGGCGGGACCAAAGAGCCAGAGTTCAACCCCCGCATGCACAACTAGCTGAGCACACAACCTGCATCTCAACCATCGTACCTCGTAGCATGGATGAAGTGGGTCCCCTGAGCGACTCGAGCATGGGTCGAACATGCATATGAGTGAGACTGGACAGGTCAAAATAGGGACAGTCACTTGAGTACTGATGCTCTTGTAACCGCATCCAAAAATATATCATACAGTGGCATCTTGACTTACGATTGCCCCTACTTACGATAATTTCGAGTTACAATGTAAATTTCATAAAAAAAATGCAACTCGACATCCGAAGGTGTCGCCGACTTCCGATATTTGTTGATACACATTTGGGTCGACGGAACGCGTGGTTCCCGGTCACGCGGTCTGACCTGCCTCAGTTTACTACAGCTACCTGCTTAAGTGGCGATCGCGCCTATAAGAAATTCCGCGTTTGTGGTGATTTTTTGCATTTTGAACATTGAAGTAAATATTATATATCATGCCACGAGTCCCAGGAAAGTCAGTGGTAAGGCTCAACATATGAAAACCCATGTAAGGATGACCATAGAGCAGAAACAAGAGTACAGAATGTCTCTTCCTCAACAATTAAGAAAATGTGTGCAGCATGGGAAGAATTGCAAACCTTTGCTGAAACGACTCACCCAAATCAAGCTGCAGTAGGCTGTTGCCTTAACCTATTCAATGACACTGTGATGCATCATTACAGACAAATGTTAAAACGAAGGGAAAAACAAATGCCTCTTGACAAATTTGTAGTGAGACAAACAAGCACTGAACCACAACCAGGTCCTAATGGTATTCAGGCAAAACGTAGGAGAGTGAGTACCTCAGAGAAAACATCACTGCCTGATGTGATAATGGAAGGGGACTCCCCTTCCAAACAGTAACAACTCTCCTCTTCCCAACTCCATCACCATCTTCCATACGCCATCAAGAGCCCTCCATAAAGGTAAGATAAACTTAGGTACTGTACTGTAGTTAGAAAAAAACATTGTATTCAGTATAAAATGTGTTTGTATGTTAATATTTTGGTGGGTGGGGAATGGATTAATTCAATTCCCTTTATTCCTTATGGGAAAAATTGCTTTGACTTACGATCCGTCTCTGGGAACGGATTAGCATCGTAAGTCGAGGCCCCATTGTATATATTTCATATAAACATATTCATATAAAAATATTTATATAAATATAAACATATCCAGCGACTGGCCAAAAGAGACGCCAAACCGCAGAAATTCACCCACGAACGTGTCACGACACAACATTGCCGAGAAGATCCAGGGAGCACCGCCAAGGGAAGGCCAGAGTCGCACATGCAGGAGAGCAGGGTAGAGGCGAAAGAGACGCCCCACACCCCCATTACACAGGGAAAACCCCGGCGTCCTCCCCATAGCTGCAATCCAGAACACCCCAGGACCAACGGAGCACGGACCGGAGGATTAAGAAGAGCGAGAGGCGAAGCACCCGAGAAAAAAGGAAGCAAAACACCACACTGCGCACACTGCCCAGACCAAAACAAACTCCCATGGCGCATGCGAATGACATGCTGTCTGAATCGCACAACCCGATCTGTGGAAAGGCGCCAACTAGGACTACTTTACAAGAAAAGTAGTCGAACAGTATGCAACTCCAATGAACCGCTAAAGAGAAGAAACAGCCCATCACATGGGACAGGAGCCAAAATAGGAGTAAGCAGCAACAACATGGCCGGCTTACGAAAGAAAGACAAGGAACGCAATCGGGAATCAAATTGGGCTACAAGTAGCCCAATCCGGCATCCCAGACGAGGAGTATGCAAAGAAAACGAGCAGCGCCGCGGCACAAAAGAACGAGACAGGACTGAAAACCAAGAATGAGCACAGAAAAGGACCAACAAGCCTGAGAAAGGACCGGAGGGAAGCCACGCCGAAAGACGACAGACGTTCCAATAATACGGGAAGTAGCGAAAACCTTCCAGAACCCTCGAGAACACAGAAGCAAGCACAAGGCACAAAAGCACATAAAGGCACAATCGTACCCGAGACCAAAAGTCACATAGAACCCCAAGAAGAGAGGAACACGACGAAGACATCCCATCCCAAGAAAAAGGGGGGGAATAACGGAGGAGAGCACCCACCTACAGGATGGAACCAACCGACTCGAGGGACAAGGAACCGAACCCGGGGCAGCTGTGAAAAAAATAAGGAAGGGAGCCCACTGGTAGACTCTTACAACACGTCTGGAGGAACAGGCTCGAATGCCCCCGTCACTACCCCGTAAGGGGAAGTACAGGCATACCTCAGTTTAAGTTTAATTGGTTCCTGGAGACGCCTCGTATTCCGAAAACTCGCATTCCGAAGCTAATTTCCCCATAAGAAATAAAGGGA